AACAAGATATCTGTAAATACATGCCAAATATCTTTAGAAATCAGGAAGAATGATTTTGTGATGCATCTGTATTAGGTGCATTTCTTTGTCTGTCTTTTATTAATCTTTATAGAAAACCTGAAGTAGGAAGTATTTGCATTTATAGACAGATAAATCAGAATGACTCATTGACTTTTGACAAATATTCCAGTGCCAAGACTGGAAATCATCCTTCTTTCTTGCCTAAAGTTAAAATTGGCTGTTGTTTATCCTGTCCACTATCTAAACATTCAAGAAATAGATGTGCCATACAATGGCTAGCCTCTGAGATGTACAAGTGGCAGGCTTCCTTAGTCCAGATGGAAGTTGCCTTCACCACTAGGTGGAGATGAAGTAGCACCACAAGTGGGCAAGATGCAAACGGAAAAGTGGACCTATTGACAAGCCTTCCAGGGCCAAGGGCTTTCACACTTTTAAAAATTTATCTGGTGGCTTAAGCCCATACTCTTAAGTGACATCTCAGTGGCATGTTGTACATTTGCAGTGTCATACAACTACCTCTTCCCTCTAGCTCCAGCATGTTCCCATCACTCTCAAGTAATACACCTTAACAATTAAGCAGATTTTTTATACTCCCTCCTCCCCTGGAAACAGCCAGTCTGCATTCTGTCTCTAAAGTTATCAATTCTGGATTGTTTTATACAGAGAACTCATAGATGGAATTATGTAATTAATGACATTTTTGTATCTGACTTTTTAAATTTAACATAATATTGTGAACATATATTGTAGCATGTATCCAAACTTCATTCCTTCATGGATATATGATATCCCATGTTGTTTATACCACCTTCTTTCATATATGGATGGATATTTTGGGCAGTGCGAATGGTGTTACTATGAATGTGTATGTACTTGTTTGAGTACTTGTTTGGGGCATAAAGGAGTTGAATTGTAGGACTATATGGTAATTTTATGTTTAACTCTTTGAGACACCACCAAACTATTTCCATAGTCACTAAGTCATTTTTGCATTCTCACTAGCAATGTATGAGCATTTCAAATTTTTAAAACCATGACTTACAATAAGACATGGACTGCACAGGCTAGGAATATGATTTAGTGGTAGAGCACTTGCGTGAGGGCCTAGGTTTGATCTTTAGTACAGCAAAGTCAGAATGCATTTTACATGCATTGCAACGTAGCCTTCTTGTATGTGTATACATTTATATGATGGAAGTTTCATGAAACAGTGTTCACCTTTACTGGTGCCAGATACATTCTAATATATTCTTTCCTATTCTGTTTCATTAGCGAAATATCCTGGTTTTATCCCACCAAATTAATTCCACAACTCAAAGCAAAATTAAATTTTATTATTTTTCTTTCTCTCTTATATATTTATTTATTAAGCAGTGCTGAGGTTGAAACCTGTGGCTTCATGCATGCTGGGCAAGTGCTCTAGCACCCCAAATTTAGAGTCTTAAATTTTGAGAGTAATTTTTCTACTAGCTCTGGAAGACAGTTTGACAATAATAGAAAAGATAAAGAGGCATTTTAAAATAATATTAATAAAGATGATGAGAATATACTGTTAGTTTATCACAATTAAGGAATTGGTTCTTTGATAAAACTGGACCCTAACCCTATCGGGAGTTGGTCCTGAGATTCTGTATAGAATCACGTTCACTGACTTCCTTTTTCAGTCTGTTCTCAAATCTATCCAAGTCAGTAGACTAGATCAGGAGGGAAACTTGGTAAGTATCACGAGCCATTTTCTTGCTAATGCTCCTCTCAGGGAAAATTCCTAATTTGAGGGATGGATGTTTCCCAAGGAGAAAAAACAAAACAGATGCCACTTTTAATTACTAATAGCAGACAGTTTTTCTGAGCAAGAACAGGAAAGCTCATGCATAGGTGATGAACTAATACTCTTGTCCATCCTGTAAACATGACCCCTGGGCTATAGCTCTGGACACCATTAAGAAAGGCTTCTGGAGAGTCTGGCTCCCCAAAGTGGTTAAGGACTGTCACATGATCAATATGATAATATTAAATCAATGTACCTAGTGAACCTGACAAAATTAAATTTAAAAAAAATGAAATTTGTTATTAAGACCAGAATACTATTCTACTGTATATAACATGAAAAAAATCTTTCTTTATGGATTTTCCATCAATTGGAAATGGTATCAATACATACAAGTTCTTTGGAGAAGCTTATTTAACTTGTGAGGACAATATTTTATATGTCCTCAAGCATAGACAGCAGAGATCACTGTGCTAAATATGCTGTGAGGGTTGTATTTAGCAGGTGTTCTATAATGAAGCACCAATTTGGGGGCAAGTATTGTAGCCTTGATTTCTGGGAAAAGGCCAGTGATACATGTTATCATTTGTTGAATGGTTTTAGTCTTTAAATACCATTTCAGTATCTCATAGGATAATAAGATGCTAAAGAGCATGTGGGAAAGCAGAAAAAGCAAGTGATAGAAGAAAGAGTATCAAGAAAGTTGGAAGGCAAGTGTGGGGAGCTTCTTAAAGGTGCAGCAGTAATTTCTTAGCATCTGCATGTGTATCCCCTGGAACTGTGAGCTCTCTGGAAAGCATGACATCTTGGGAGCAGCAGAGTGCAAAGGTGAAAGCCCGTGTGGTAGATCAGCATCATGGGCTGGATTGAGAGTCTATGGACTCAGATGAAAAAATATTATGGTTCACTTCTTACCAATCTCTAACTGAGAAAATTTAGTATCTTCCTTAATTATAAATTATATTTATAAATATAGGCAACAAACTACAGTGTTAGTAGTACTTGTAACTTTATTACCACTTGAAGTCACAGATATATTCACAATATGATAGTTGCTTTAGGTATGTGGAAATATTATATATATATATATATATATATATTTTTTTTTTAGTGCTTTGTTTAAAGTTTCTTATAATTATTATACCTGCCTCTAGATTGTGTTATTTAATATTCTACTGAAGAAGTAGGTGTATGCCATACCACAATTTTGTATTTTTTTTAAAAAAATTACTGTATTTCAAAATAATTCATTATTTTATAATTCTATATGCTTTATTTTATTCATGTAAACATATCATCCTGAGGAGCCTCTGAGCTTCATTAGACAGCCAAAAAGGCTCACAAATAGGAACCTAAAGAGCTACTGTGTCCAATAAAAGAGTCACTAGCCACTGATAGCAATTGTGTCTTAGGAACCTGGCTAATACAAATTTAGATGTGCCATAAAATATACATCCAATTGTTAAGTATTTAGTGTATGTTCAATATCCCACTAGTAATTTTGATATTTGTTACATATTTAAAAAGATAAAATTTTGGCATATTGGGTTAAACAAAGTATGTTTGCGTCATTCAGCTTTCTGTCTCTGTGACAAAACACCTGGGAAATACAACTTGAAAGAAGAAAGGTTTGTCTTGGGTCACAGTTTCAGAGGTTTTAGTCTGTGGCTGACTGATTCTAGTGCTTTTATGTCTATGGTAGGGCAGAAATGTTGTGGTAGAAGGTCATGGCAAAGGAAAGTTGCTTACCTCATGGCAGCCAGGAAGGAGAATGGAGGAAGAACGTAGTGGGAGAGAGAAAGAGAGACAGAGACAGAAACAGAAATACAGAGAGAAAAAGAACAAGATATAATTTTCAAAGCCACACCCCCAGTGACCTCTTTGCGCCAACTAGGCCCCACCTCCTAAAGTTTCTACAACCTCCCAATAGACCATATAACTATGAATCCATCAATGGGTTAATCTATTGATGAGATCAGGGCCCTCATGATCCAATCATGTCCCAAAAGCCCCACCTTTGAACACTGCTGCCAACCTGAAGACCAAATCTTTGACACATTAGCTTTTGGGGGACATTTGAGATTCAAGCCATAAAAATATTATTGAAATTAATTTCACCTGTTTATTAGTTATTGGAATATAGATACTCAACCAGTTAAGGTTGTAAATGTGGCTTGCATTGTATTTCTATTGAATGTCACTGGCTTACCATCAGATCTGGTCCCAATCCTGGCTGTATCCCATGGCCAGCGATCGCCATCATTATTTTTACTGTCATTGATCTGTTGTGCCCTAGCTAGGGGACCTTCATAAGTGTCAGTTTCGTCGTTTGTAAGAGTAGATAGAAAGCTAGTGGAGAAAGTATTACTCTGTTTATTCCAGATTCCGCCTTTTGACTAATACATTTCTCACTATTATAAAAGTTCCACTATCTTGCCTATTTTTGTTTGTGTTTGTTTGTTTGTTTTCTGGGTTTTGGGGTTTGTTGGGGGTTTTTTTTGTTCAGGGATCGAACTCAGGACCTTGTCCTTGTAAGGCAGGCACCGGAACCACTGAGCTAAATCTCCAGCCCTCCACCATCTTGTCTTTCATCCAAAAGTCCAACAGAAAGCCATAACCATGGCCCTTTTTCTTACACTTCTGCTAACCATTGTTTTAATAAACAAAATGTTATATATGTGAAAAGTGATCAGGATATAAGAAGTCATAGATGACATTAATGTCCAAGAATAATTTTAAAGGATAAGAGAACTGAAAAAATCCCTTAGAACAGAGAAGGTGGAAAATGAGGCTTGAGGTATGATGGGTTATTTCTCCTACTACAGTTATCACCCATCCTGTATTTTTCCAGAGAAGCCAGAGTGCCATTTGGATAAGACTCAGTCAAACCACTAACCACCAGAACATTCCTGGAATTGGTGAATGGCCACTTACAGAGCAGGATACCCTACGCATGTTTCTAGACCAAAAATGAAAGGGCAACAGGCTGGCACAATTGACCAGGAAGGTGCCAGTGTTTTTCTTTATGGTGAAGGGCTGAGAAGGGACCAGCTGCCTCTTTATTCTTACACTGATGGAGCCCTGAGCATTTAATACCAACACCCGGAGAATACAAAGCCCTTCCAGCCACATGATCTTCTTTGACACCTGAGCTTTTGGGGCATATTTGAGATTCAAACCATAGCAATGTTATTGAAATTAATTTCACCTGTTTATTACTAGTTATTTGAATATACATACTCAACAATTGATCTTTGAGATCATGACATAAATAAAGGGCACCAAACAAAACAAATAAAGGGCAGACAAAATAGTATCACTTGCACTTTATAAAAGAAGGCATAAGTCAAACCTGTAGGTAGATGTCTATGCCTGGAACCTGGTGGAGTAGGGACTGACTGACTATGAGCTTTGGTTTCTCTACAGCTAACATTAACAGGTAGAATCATGACCTCCACCGCTCTTGCCTGGGTTTCTCAGAGTGATCTCACCCAACTTGCTGGTCTGTAAAGCTCATTACTTTCCACCTCATTTCTGACTCCTATGCTGAGCCTGAGCCGGGCAGTTGGAAATGCTTTCCCAGAAGCCTGCTGAGCTGCAGCCATCCCTCATTCAGCCTCTGACAGCCCCACCCTCCTACACAAAGACCTGCTTGTCTGGTCAAATAGGATGGTGATTCCCACCCTTTTAAAAAACATGCCTTGCAAGACTTTGTCTTCCCTGCAAGATAGACTCACCCCTTCTCAGTTTTCTAATGTCTGAATGGTGCCTAAAGGTGGAAAGGTGATGTATATGCTTCTGTACTTCAGTGTCATCAGGCTTATACCAGAGGCTTCTAAAAGGCAGGGACCCGGGGTCCACACCAGGCAGATCCCTGCACATGGGCACTAGGAAGACTTTGAAGATGAAATCAGTGCTGCTCAGTGAAGTAGACACTTCTTTTTAAATTGTTAGCTCTAAATGAAATGATGCTGTCTATACGTTCACTTCCTTAGTTCCATTGTCCTTAAGCTCAGTGATAATTACCTGGCTCATAGCTCTGGTCTCTCTGGTTTACAGGACTTGCCTCATGTACACTTTCTATCAGTTTTTCTCTAAGATAAACAAAGCACTTGGATATTGCCTCATTAATTTCACAGTAGACAACTTGGTTATTTTCGTATTTCTCTCTTTCTAATCCCCAATTTTTTTGGTCCTATGTCAGTTTCTCTTGCCAGCAAGCCTGTGTATATGTTTTCATGGTTACCGTTGACACTTAGCTTATCAAAACATATTGAGAACGTGAGTCTGTAGCCAAAGAATTCAATAATGTATGCCAAAAACTTACATAAAATAACTTATACCCAGTGTTCTGCTTCTCCCCTACCATGGTTCCTCCAAAGAGTATGGAAAATCTTAGGGTGTTCCCCAAGAAACAGTTTGATGGGAGGAGGAGTCGTCTTCATTTAGTAGAGAAATAACTTTTCCAAAATCATAGTATCAGGGCTAAAATAGGAAGCAGAGTAAAAAGTTTCCTGATTTGCAGTCCTCCAATATTTAGTAGGTAACTGTTACATTATACCTAGAACAACAACAACAAAAAATTTAGTATATACAAAATTTAAGTAGTGAACAAATAAATAAAACTCATCAAATTTCTAATATTCACAGATTAATTTTAAAATTATAGATTTTAATAACTATATATTAAATGACACCTTTGAGAAAACTTGATATACTCCATGTGGCTTAAGCTCTAATTATTTTTGTGCCTGCAATAGGGAATGTGAATGAAATAAAAATAAGAATATTTGCTGCAGCTCTAAAAGGCACTTAATTTCTTTTTTTCCCCAGTACCAGGGATTGAACTCAGGACGTTGTTCTTGCCAGGAAGGCATGGTGCCACAGAGCTACATCCCAACCCAAAAAGCACTTGATTTATATCACTAGGTCATAGAAATACCTATCACCCAATAATTTTAATGCAACCATGAGAATGCTTCTTTTCTGTGAGGTTGGATTATCATTGATACAGGGGGAAACTAACATTTTCTTAATTCTGTTTTACATAGTAAAGAATGTTTGGGAAAGAGTGACAAGAATTGATATAAACATAATTATTTTCATCATGCTAAAGCATTACCTGTGTATTTTTGATAAGCACTAATATGCAAAGCAAATGATATTTTTTAGTATTCAGTGCCTAATGTTTTATAATCATACATTAATACTTGGCTACTATTGTAGCTAGTTATACCAGACCTGATTAAATCTGAGTGTGAATAATTTCTCAGCCTACAAATGGTATTTGAAAGTAGCATAGTATAGTTGGTATTATGTTGTTGCTTTCATGTAAGGGGAGGGTCCTCAAATGTTTTCTTTTTGCATATACATTTATAAATAGAACATTATATATTAACTATGCCATACCTTTATTCTGCAGAATTTGAGATCAAATTTTCATATTTGCATAATATATATGAACCATAACATCTCTTTTTTTAGCCTCTGGATTAATAATATCCAAATATATAGGCCCTACTTTGAGAGGTTGATGGGGAGACTAATTAGATAAATTTTGCAGTGATACTAAACTAACCCTAACCTGTACTCAGATGAAGGTTTACCCTAGGCCCCAAAGTTGTATGTGTACATGTTTAGGTTTTCCTTATCTTGACACATCTTCAGCCTTGTTGGCAGGTCTGCCTTACCTTGGTAGCCAGCAGAGGTCTCTCTGCAGTGGGCAGGGTTGTTCTTCCTCTTTTCCCAGCCTGACTGTGTACTTAAGGAAACATTTTGTATTGGGTATTCTGAGTTTATTGCTTGCTAAAGATCTGCCATTTTAACAGTTGTCACCTACCTAGGAACTGTGTGATAAGCATTAGTTTACAGACAAGGAAACTGAGGTCATGAGTTGTTCAACAACTTTGCCAACAACACAGACACTGTGTGATAGAGCAAGGACTCAGCTCTGGTACACAGAATCGCTATCCTTCTAATTAACATCCTTTTTTAAAAAAATTAATTTTATTGGTACATTTTAGTTATACAAAATAATGACATTCATCATTGGAAATTTGCACCTTTACATAATCTCTCTTGGTTCTTATTTTTCCCCCTTCCCCTGCCTTCCCTTCAACCCCTCCATCCCTCCCTATTTACAAAGACTTTGTTTCTTTTTTTATGTTCTCATATTAATTCCATTCCCTTCTTTCCTTTCCCCTACCCCTCCCACTTTCCCTTCCCCTTTGCCCCCTTTCTTCCTATTTCACATTATGTATTATACCTTTTAGTCCTTATTTACACTTTCAGTTTCTCACACTAGAAAAACTATTCGGTATTTACACATGTGTGTCCTATTTATTTCACTTAAGAGTATCACCTCAATATGCATCCATTCAGCTAAAAATATCTCTAATTTCTCCTTTTTTATGGCTGAGTAGTACTCCATTTTATTTAAAAAACCGCATTTTCTTTAACCAGTTCTAATTAACATCTTTGAAGTCACCATTCAGTTGTCTGGAGCACAGTCCAGGTAGAGACCTAATTTTTTTATTTCCCAGGGTGCAGATCTGGGATAACCAATACCTCAGTTCCTCCACTGATGTACCCGTGCCAGTTTTAAAAGGGGGCCCAACAGGTGTGCCTTTTGGCTTGGCTTTATTCTCCAAGATGCAGCCTAGCCCAGGACCTCAATGTTAAGCATTCAATGAATGTCAAGTTTTCACCTTGCTTGACAATGGGCATCTGGAGGGGCCTCTCATGCACAGGATAGCAACCAGGGTGGATATAGGCTTGCTGTTACGTCCCTGCTGCCACTTCTCAGGGTCTCATTGTCTTCTGCTTAAATCCTCTTGCACCAGCAGTGGTGGCAACAGCCAGTTTCTTTGTCCTGGCCTCACTTTCTTATAAAACTCCTTTTCAGAGGAGCTGAGTGGAGAAGAGAAAAAAAGTTGGGTTCTGCTACTGTTATTTTTTTTTTTTTTTAATGAAATCCGTTGTAAGAAACACGATTTTCCTTGTTTATGTCTAAATCTGTTCAACAACAAGCTCTGGTTTAATGAAATTCTGTTGCACTCAAAAAATATATTTCAATCCATTGAAAAAATCATTCACAGTGGATAGTAATGAAGTAAATGATTTCAGAACTTACCAAATCTATTTCTGTGAAGATTTGTGGTTTGGGGTTGGATTTTTAAAGGAATGATTATTACATTTTATGTTTACCACATGAACATTATGTGGCATCATTTCATATTTTTCTCTATTTAGTAGAGTAGAGTAGATCTCCTAAACTGTGTATCTGGAATAGGTCAAAAAAGATGTTTGTTATTTACTTGGACTCTTTGTTCTCTAGGTTACTCTACAAGGCCTCTTATCATTTTCTTCTCTAATGCAAAAAACTTCTTTCCCCATACTAGTCACCATCGATCTCAACTGTGGTCTTTTTAATTCAATCTAGGACATACTTAATTTGATTTGGAATAATCCTTCTTATCATTCCATATATAATAGCACAAATGTAATATACTTATACATTCTTTGAGTTTGAAACTGCTGATCAAAAATTGATAAAGCAACTTTTTTCTTATCTGAAGAGACTTTGTTTCTTCAGATTGCTCTTGAAGCAATTCTCTTCTGCCTGACACAGTCTGAGTGTGGCTATGCATGTCACTCTGTGACAGGAATTACACGTGGGTACCGACGTAGTCAGATGCTTGAAAATCATTACGTAATGGCTTTTGAGATTGGCAAGCATCCAGACTGTTGGCCTAGCTTTGTTTTCACATTTTTAAAAACACAGTACAGTTTAGTCTCAAAAAAACAGTCTAAAATGGCAGGAAAGTGTAAATGGAGCATGAATTAAAATACAAACCAATTGTACTTCTGGCGCACATTTTTCCCCCATAGGCAGCAGTTAACCCTAGACAGGGAATGCAGTCCTATTCGTCCACCACTCTACATGTTTATTGAATGTGTGCTGGGAGCAGTGGGGGATATAAACTGAGTAAGTCACAGCGCTTTTGGAGGGGAGAGACATGGGTTCTTATAATAGGAATTAAGGCATGGATTGTAAAATGCACTTCACTCACCTGCTACCCCCGCATCCTTTGCTGCCACTCAGCAAGCTGGGACATAGGAGATAAGCTGGTCATTCCCTTCTTGAAACACTGTACTTTCCTGGTTTCCCCTGCATCACCCAGGGCTACCACCAGCTCATACTCTTGGTCACAAAATAGACTGAGTCTTGGGCAGATGCAGTCCCACATCAGGGTGAGCAGAGCCCATTACCACCCCTTGACAACTGGAGAGTAGAGTTCAGGCTAGATTTCCATCTACAGTCTCACCACCTCTACTCCAGGTTAGGCATCCCTGTGCAATTAACCAAATTACTGGGAAAACTGATGGTATTCTTCTCTAAGTTCTTGATGGGACTAGAGCCTCCAGGGAACGGTTCCTTACCCAGACAAAAGCCAGGCAGGAGGAAGGCCATGCATGGGCTGGGAGAGGTGTGAGGGACCTGGAACAACTGTCAGTGATAAGGAAGTTCCTAGCATCTCTTCCTTAACTCTCTTGAAAGAAGTTGGTTCTCTCACGATTTGCAAATCATAATAAAGTTAGAATAAATGAGTTTCTTTCTTCCTTTCTCCTTCCTTCCCTCTCCCTCCCCCCTCTTTCTTTCTTTGAGAGAGGGTCTCACTATGTAGTTCAGGCTGGCCATGAACTCACTATGTATATAGCCAAGGCTGGCCTCAAACTCAGAGCAATCCTCCTGCCTCAGCCTCCCTACTGCTGGGACTACAGGCGTGCATCACCATGCCCAGCTAAATAAATGACTTTAAAATGTGATAGAATTAAATAATAATATTAATAGGATAAATGCATCTAAAATTGGCTTAACCTAAATTCTACCAGCCATATGATGATCTTATTTTATGTTCCTCAAGCCTTAATTTTCTGTATAAAATGGGCTAATAATAGGACTTACCTTATATTTTTGAAGTGAGGATTGAATATGATTTTTAAATGTGTATTCTAGCACAGTATTGATATTGAGTAAATATAGATGGTTTCATTAATTGTTATTATCCCAGGCTACTTTCTAACTTTTTTCCATTGTTTGATACCATTTCCTGGGGCCTTCCACTACTCCTATACTACTTTTATCTTTCTCTCAGTTCCCAACATCTATGCCTAATTTTTTGCTTATATATTCACTCTATGTTCTCCCAAAATTTTTAAGGAAAGATCTGTTGATATTACAGGTATGAAATCTGAGATAGGTTTAGGTCATCTTAAATGACAACTGAAATCACATAGCAAGCCAGGGTCAGGTTCAACTTTATTGTATTTTAAAGTATATTTGTTCCAGGTGCCTGTTCCAGATACATTTTTTATAAGTGCCCCCACCCCAGAAAAGGAAAATGTTTTATCTCAGCTTATATTAGTTGTCTTTCTGTTTGACTGCAAGCCTTTCAGAACAAAAGGCCTTTTCTGTTCTTTTACAATATATGCCCTCTTTAAAGGTACTCAAATGAGGAACAAAGCATACATTGGACAGGATTTTGGGTTCTGACAGACAGAAACAGGACTCTTGGTTACTAATTCACTCTTTATAGGCAAAACTAGATGCCATTAAAAACATTCTTTCTAAATAGCATTTAAATTTTTATGATCATTTCCTTTCAAATATATGAGTAGACTTCGCAACAAGTTAGTATGTTTATAGTACTATTGAAAACTTTAAAAATACATTTAGGATTTCTTTTATAAGCATTTAGAGTATCTCTGTGTAACAATATAGAATAGCATGTTTGCTTCTTGCAGCTGATTTTAAATGTCTTTGACATGCTAGCCCCAAATAGTTACTATTTTTTTTTCCTTAAATTCTTTTATTGGTACATTTTAGGTATATAATACGTTTACATTTATCATTGGGTGCTTATACCTGTACATGATGTATCTTCATTCTTATTTTTTCCCCCATTACCTGTGCGCCCTTCACCCCCTCCACCCTTCCCCATTTACATACTTTGTTTCCATTTTTTTCTTTTCTCATAATTTTTCCTTTCCCTTCTTTCCTTTTCCCTTCCCCTCCCACTTCTTCTACCCCTTTGGACCTTTTCTTCCCCACATAGTTACTATTGATGTTCAGAAACAACATACTAAATCACAGAAATGGTAAAAAGTAACTTCAAAAAAGAGTCTATTCTGTAGTCACTGAAATTTATAATAATAAAAATAAATAAAATAAATTAATTAGAATTAAGAATAATAAAATTTGATGCAGGGATTACACTGAGCACTTTTCATACATGATGTCATTTATTCTTTCCAATAACTGTAGGTAGTAGATACAATGATTATCCCCAATACACCGGTGAAGAACTTAAGGCTTAGCAGGGTTAAGACCTAGCCTTAGCTGTCAAGGTTAGTAAGGGCTGGTGCCAGGTGGGAGTCAGGCACCCCCCTCGAGAGTCCATGTGTCCTTCATTGCAAGGCACCTTGCAGCTTCCCAATGCATTCAGAGCCATCATAGGGGAGAGAGACACCAGACCTGGGGGGTACAGGCATTGCAATCGTTTTGGGGGGTAATCATTGTTTTGAAGCAGAACCTTTGGGTACTACTTTATCTAGAATCCATACAAAGTACAGATGGTCAAAGATTTAGCTCATCAACTTTGCTATATATATGAATGAAAAAGAAGTCAACCTGATGAGAGATTTCATGAGAATAAAATGCTCTGAGCAGAGTCAAGAATCCAAGTGATTGTGGGCTTGTTTTGCTTTGGGTTAAGTGTGAAGAGCTGAGAAGCTCATTACGGTGATAAGCCAGGACAGAGCTCTAAACATGCTGTTTAGTGCTGGAGGTTTCAAATTCTTTGTCTTAAAAACAGAAGATTACTGTAATCTTTCCCTTCTATTTCTCAAATGAACTATTAATCTAGGAAGTCTTATTTGTGAATTGATGGGGGGGGCTTGTCCAGCATATGTTATGCTAAATAATTATCACAAAATATTCTTTTGAAAACATTAATCATAAATTTACTCGGGATGTGGAAGGATCCCATGGCTCTTGGATGCTTGGCCAAATCCCACCTGCTCAAACACAGCCTGTCATTATTAAAATACAATACTCTTATTTAACTCATACACAAGCTAAATGATAACGTGAAGCAAAGCTAAACAAAATCAGGACACCTGATATGAAGAATTCATGAAGCAAAATGTCATTCTAGAAAAGGAGTCCAATGCAAACCCTTTATCTTTTTAATACAAATAAAATATCCTTTATTGGACTGGGTGATTCTTAGAAATACAAAGCTTGAGAAACAGATCCCTGGTGGAATCTGTGGCATTCTTTGAACAAACAGACAAAGCAGTTTATTTTGTCCCTTTCAGGTGCACACCCTAGGGCTGGGGTGCCCCTCAGTAAGACCATATTTCTGGGAGGGAGAAGCATAAAATGCAGATTCTGCTGTACCCAGAAGAGGAAGGGAAGAAAAGCTCATACCAATGTCTTCATGTGGTGGAGCTTCCCTACTGAAATGAGGCTGATAGATGAGGGTTTTTTCAGAACATCACTGTAACCAGATGCCAGGGTGCAGCTTGCTTACCGCATCGTGCTGCAGTTGTGTGTTTCAGGGACAGACACAAGGGGAAGTAGCAGCCAGCGCATACCGGGCTGGAAGACTTTCTGCACCAAGAGGATTCTTCCTCCTCCTCCTCCTCCAGCCCTGGTGGAGGCTGAGTGGCCGCCCAGGTTGAGGCAGAGGCAGGGGCAGGGAGCAGTGGGCCCAGCTCATCCCTCGGCTTTGAAGCCACCGTTAGGACCAAGAGGCTGCCCGTATCGCGTCAGGCAGGCTGGCCAAGAATCCCTTCCTCCCCTGAGAGAGCAGAACCCGGTTCAGGTGGGGACTTCCTCGGTACTGTACCTGGCTCTAGCAGAGCATGTGGGCGGCCGGCAGGAGGCATTTCTGGTTATGGAAGCCCAGAAATGAAAGCAACGGCTGCCGCCGCCTCTGAGGGCTGCAAGGAGATCAGCACCCAGCAAATAAGAAGCAAGACCTGGCCCCAGAGGAGGAGGAGCAGCTGAGCATCTCTCTCCCGCTCCTCACAGTCCTTTAAATGAGGACTCCCTGTCAGAGACGGAGGTGGATCTGCAGAGCTGCCGTCTCAGCTCCTGACCCGGTGCTTACATCACTAACCTGTGACAGGCACATCTCCACACCGGGTACCTGCTCCTCCAGCAGCTCCCAGTCCTAGGAGCCTCTTTGTATGCCGCAGACATGGCCAGCCAACAGGATTCGGGCTTCTTTGAGATCAGTATCAAATATTTACTGAAATCCTGGAGTAATAGTGAGTAATAAAAAATAACCTTTTTGTTTGTTTGTTTGCTGGATTGTTGCATAAGGCTTGAGAAATCAAATCTCGACTGGACACATATGTTTGTGAGACGAGGAAGTTTTTTTTGCTTACATCTGTGAAAAATCAAAATGTCAGAGATGAGCTAGCTTTGCTTAAGTGCAAAGGCTACAATGGAATTACAGTAGATTTTGTTTGCTTAAATTTTCAAGTGAGACGGCCCTTCGGAGTCTGGTGAGTGCCAGATCGAGCATTCCAGCCTGCATTTCCTGCCTTGATGTTTATTTCATTTGTCCAGGCTTTATCTAAATATTTCGTGAAGTGTGGTTTAATCAGAGGGGTGTGGCAGGGTTTTGGAGTACTTCATAGTTGTTTTATTAGAGTATTGTCTGAAAAGAGAAAAGTACTTAGTAGTCCAGAACCTAAGACTCATCTTTTTTATACACAGAGGCATCTGCAGTTTACTTGATCACTCTCTCCCTTGTCCATGTGGATGAGGTTAAGAATGCCATTTAGTATTTGCATTCTGAAAAATCCTGTTGTCTGCTCTCCTCCAAATAATGTGCTTTTCTGAAATGTAAACAAGTGGGGTTCTGACCCTAATCATTCATTAGATCATTAGAATATTATGACTTCTGAAGTTCCTTTTCTGACCTATTCAAAGATTTTAGCAATACAGTTCGCTGTCTCAGAAAGATAACCTCTAAGTCATCCTGGATCCAGGATCAAATTAAAATGAGGCCTTCAGGTGATCAGTGATGCCTTCTGTTTTTCTGAACACTTTAAAAACAAAGTCTTCTCAATTTCACCAGAAGCCTTTGTACTTGCTTTGAGGAAAAAGACCAGCAGGTTACATACAGATCCTTAATTATTTTAAATTTAAATTTTTTTCCAAGGAAAATCTGATATTTTATTATGTACATACTGATGAACCTACCTGTGCTCAAAAAGGTGGGAATTAACTTCTAAACAAATGACCTGAGGCCAAGATAGTTCTTATGTAAACAAAACCTGAGCAGAAAAACCTGGGCTCTAATTGCTTTAAGAAAAGAACCAAAGTACCTTGAATGGGAAGGTATTCAAGGATATGCATCTCTAAATGATATCCATAGAAAACATTTTTTCCAGGTCATTTTGCACCACTTTATGTACCATAGGTCTTGTCTGAAGCTGTTTTTACACAAAGTGGGAAGCCCTCTGAGAGCAGTACTCTTTCCCAAACAGCTTTTCTTTATTTGTTACAGCCATAAATCATTTAACTTGGATGCATCATTTGTATACTTCACACTCAAGGATGACTCTTCCTTTGTCTACCTACTCTTTGGTTAATGAAAAAAATTTGACATAGAGGATACCTTACAGAACAGTTTTCTTACTGAAAAGAACTCACTTGTGAGTTTGACGCATGGTTTTTAATCACCATTTGATTATTCCAGATTATTTTCTTACATCAGTTTTTGTCATTGCCTCATGAGATAGAAAACTATGTTGTGATGATATTGAGCCAGTGGGATTTCTTTTAAAATCTCTCTCCTAGTCTGATTTCAAATGTCTAGACAAAGTGTATATTATCTCCAACCTTCCTAAACTCCTCTCCCTTTCCCTACATACACACACCAAATTGGTTCCAAATAACTGTTCATTTCCACTTGCATAGTATCTGTCATACAATTCTGAATTCTTCAACAAAGATTGAACACCTATTAGAGACAAATAAGACACAATTCCTGTCCTCTATTTTAACTCTTTATTTCAGAAGAGTGATGTTGGTCCATCTCTAAGGTTTCTTTGGGGGTCAGAATGCTATTTAGCCATTTCTTAAAAGAATAGGAACTAGGCCTTATTCTTAAGGTCTTTAAGCTTGTTACAACATTTACCTGCTTACAACCTAGCATAGTTCTCATAGCTAAGTTTTACATATTTTCAGTAGCAAAGAGAGAAAGGAATCTGGGTGGAAGACAAAGTAGAAAACAGAAGCCTCTGGGTTCGACCTACTGTGTAACCTTGGCTGAAAGGATCCACTACAAGCACACAGCTCATTGCTCCTGCACATGCATGCCTAGCATCACAGGTTGGAGAGGTGAGGATTCCCACCCACATATTTGAATGGGGAACCAGCTCCCTAATTATATGGTGGTGCTTATTGACAGAAGTGCAACAATTAAAAAGCAATAAAACAAACTATAATTATGGCTGACTACTTTGCTAGGTGGTAGCAAGAGAAAAGATGATTTCATATGCATTTCCAGGTGAAGGTTTCCATTTTTTAAACTAAGGCATATTTTGAGGTAAATGTACTTACATACATCTTTGTCTCCTCTAGAGATTAATAAGCCAATTAAATAAATCAGTCACTGCCTGGAGCATTGTATTAGCTTTGTATTCAGTGTTCTTTTAGACACTCCTCTTGGCACGGCCATCCTGTCCTTCTGCCCTTTCATTTGAATGGAGATGGGAATTAAAATGTCCTTGATGTCTGGAGATATTACAGTATCCTTGGCAGACCTCACCTGGGAGCCTTTTCTTTCCCCGGGACATCTGTCCTGTTGCTTCTTACCCAGACCTCTACCATCAGTGATGCTCACAGCTGCTGCTCCTTGGTGCCCATGGCCATGGCTACCTTTGCTCTTCTCCTTTTCACCTGGAATACTCGGTGGTCTTCTAATGGTCTAGAGCTACTCCCGGCTTCCTTTTACTTCTGAGAGTCAGTGGGTACCGATCAGTACCCTCTTTGTGCTTCTCATCCATCCTCTCTCATCTTGATTTTCTGTTCCAGTCCTACTTAATCTGCTCCTCTCCTCTGCATCTTGCTAATTTGCTCCCAAATCCATACTTGTTGGCCCCCTGATATGGCAAGCCCTTACTAGAATGCACAAGTTCAAGGGCCAAATGGACTTGGTTGTAGTCTCTAGCTCCTGCACTTTCATAGCCTTGGATAATTAATTAACCATTGTATCTCAGATTTCTTGTCTGTAAAATGGAAGCAGAAATAATATGTACCTCATAGGAGTAAATGAGATATTAAGATATATATATATATATATAAAATGAGATATTAAGCATAATATATAGCACATTGTAACTACTGTGGAAATCAGTATGGAGATACCTCAAAGAACTAGGACTGGAAGTCCCATTTGACCCAGCTTTTCCCCTGCTGGGTATCTTCCCCAAAGAATTAAAAGAATCATACCACAGTGATATATG